AGAGAGCGACAAAGAACAGAGATGGAGTCAGAAAGCAGGGAGAAAGGAAGAGATGGAGACCAGCTGGTGAAGAGATACAGAAAATGGAGGGACAGATCAAAGAGAGAGAGAGAGCCAGAGAAATAAAGCCAGAGACAGAGACACAGTGGTAATGAGAGAGGGAAGAGAGACAGAGAAACAGGGAGACACAGGGAAGAGAAACCGAGTACAGAGAAGGATAAGGGAGAGAGAATGAGAGAGAAAGAAAAGCATAGAGAGAGACGGTATAAACAGACACAGACGGCAAGACAAGAAAATGTAACCCCGTGTGTCCAAGGGACTCACAGCCCCTTGCCAACTTTCCACAGGGGAAAAATAATTTTGCCACAGTCAGAAACTTAACGGAACAGCCTAAGGAATGTGGGTAGGTAACATCTGGTTGGAGTATTCTCTGCAGCAGTCACAAGTAATGGATTAGGGCTATGCATAGCCATAAGGACAGATATTAAATCCAGGGCAGGGTCTTGGGTATCTAGCGCTGCTATAACAGAAATACCACAAGTGGATGGCTTTAACAAACAGAAATTTATTCTCTCACAATTTAGGAGGCTGGAAGTCCAAAGTCAGGGTGTCAGCTCCAAGGGAAGGCTTTCTTTCTCTGTTGGCTCTGGGGGAAGGTCCTTATCATCAATCTTTCCCTGGTCTAGGAGTTTCTCAGCACAGGGACCCCGGGTCCAAGGGACATGCTATTCTCCTGGCTCTTGTTTCTTGGTGGTATGAGGTCCCCATGTCTCTCTGTTCACTTCTTTCTTTTCTATCTCAAAAGAAATCGACTCAAGATACAACCTAATCTTGTAGATTGGGTCCTGCCTCATTACCATAACTGCCTCTAATCCTGCCTCATTAACGTCATAGACGTGAGGATTTACAACACACAGGGAAATCACATCAGATCACAAAATAGGCGTGTTGTGGACAGTTTCTTTGTTCTACTTAATTTTCTGTGCTGAGTCATTTTTTTATTACAACCACACAATACTGGCAATCATCGCCTAGTCAAGTGGACAAACATTTTTAGGGGACACAATTCAGTCCGTAACGGGCAGAGGACAATTGAGGCAAATGAGAAGATGAGTGTTAAACATGACAGAACGGTGGCACGCGGTGGGGAGGGAGATGGAGAGAAAAAATAAATAAATAAATGAAACAAGACAGGGGCCTTATGTGGAAGAAAGGCGATACTATGCTTTGAAATTAGATGTATTATTAACTTATTCCTGCTAGAACAATTAGATAGCTGCATGGGAAAGATTAGCCTGATCCCTACCTCACACCATATGTACAAGTTGCCTTGAGATGGAGTAGAGACCAACGACTGTTGATGGGTACTGGGTTTCTTTCTGGGGTGATGAAAATGTTATGGAATTAGATAATGGTGATGGTTGCATAGCCTTGTGAATAAACTACAACCCACTGAATTTGTATATTTTCAAATGGTGAATTTTATGGCCTGTGAATTCGATCTCAATAAAAACAAACAGATAGCAAACAAAAACAATCTATTTCTCTGCATTTGAGGTCAAGAAAATAAGACCAAAAAAAAAAAAAAACTCTCCCAAGCAAGAGAACTTGACTTCCTGCACTGTAAAACATGCATCCTCTTTGCTTTATGAGCATGCAAACATCATGCTCTGTTATGGAATGAATTGTGTCCCTCCCGCAAAACATGTGCTGGAATGCTAACCCCTATACCTGTGGATATAATCCCATTATATCACTTTAGGGATATAAAAAAAAAACAGATTATCCCCAAGACTGTGGCCCCAGATACCCTGCCCACTTATAACTGAAGGCCCTCCTGAAGCCCACTTTCAGCCAAAGATTAGACAGCCCTATAAAACAAAAACCCACGGGAGGAACATGCTTCTTAGTTCAATCAAATACAGGGGACCAAATGGGCAACTCCTGCCCAAAAGCAAGACAAGAAGGCAGGAAGGGGCAGGAAAACTGGACAAATGGACATGGGGAACCCGCGGTGGAAAAGGGGAGAGTGCTGTCACATTGTGGGGATTAAAACCAATGTCACAGAACAATTCATGTATAAATTTTTGAATGAGAAACTAATTTGTGCTATAAACTTTCACCTAAAGCACAATAAAAAAAAAAAAAAAAAAAAAAACACTAGATCAGGCACAGAGACAAACAAGCACAAATTGGGGGTGGATAGATACCACGTGGAGATCGCCAAGGAACTGAAAAACGCCAGGGTTACAGAAGCTGAGATGAGAATTTTCCCCTAGAATGGACAGAGAGGGAAACTTTCCCTAGAGCTGGTGCCCTGAATTCAGACTTCTAGCCTCCTAAACAAAACTAAATTTCTGTCCTTCAAAACCACCCACACGTGGTACTTCTGTTATAGCAGCACTAAGAAACCAAGACATGCCCTAATCACTGAGATGGGAAAGAAACACAAAGATTAATGACTAGTGGCCAATTCCGCCCCTGGCGGAGAGGCCTCCCCACGCATGGTCCAGCGCCTAGAACAGCACTTATGTACTTATGCTCATAAATGTTTGCAGAGTGACTAAATGAGAGTTGAATCTATCTCCCCTCCCAATAAATCCCACTAGGTCACACTACACCAGTGGTGGAGAGGCAGCTATGGGCTGGGGCTGGCTGGGGATGGTAGCAGGGGAAGCCCTGGCTCACAGCTTACTGGTTTTGGGCGTGAGGTAGACGCTGAGAGCGGTGACCCCGTCTTCCGCCGGGTCCCGGTAGAGCTCGCTGACAAGGAGGTCATTGTCCTTCATGCGAAGGGGGAACTTCTGCACATCTGGGGTGGGCAGGGAGGGTGAAGTGGGTTTGTTCAAGGTGCCCCAGCCTGTGCCCCTACCCCCCCATTTCCTGGGGTGGCTCTCAGGCACCTGGGTGCTGGGCACTGCTCACCCACGTAGTAGATGGAGCCGTTGTTGCAGCCGAGAAGGAGGAAGGAGCCGGCTGCATCATAGCTGGTGATGGGCTGCACCTCCTGGACCTGGGGGGCAGGGACAGCCACAGCCGTGGACCCCTTCACGCCTTTGCTTCTACCGAGCCCCCTCCTAGAATACCTGCTCCTCTTGTCTACAGAACCCACCAGGCTTTGAGGCTGCTTCTCCCCAGCCTCGCCCACTCTGGGCCTCTCTGCCTCTGTCTCTGTCTGGTTCTAGTTCTCTCTGGGGCCCCTCTTTGTGTATCTGTCTCTCGCTGTTTCTTGGTCTCTCCTCAACTCTGTATTTCTGACATGACTCTGCTCACTGCCGTCTCTCTCTCTACGTCCCTGTATCTGTCACTCAGTCCTGCTTTCTCTCTCTCCACCCTTCTCTCTCGCTCATTGCCTCCTCCTGGTTCTGTCTGTATTTGTCTGTTTCTCTCCCTCTATATCTGTCCTTCTCTCTCCTTTCTTTGCCTCTGTCTGTCTCTTTCTCTCTCTCTCCCAAACACTCACACTCTAGTACAAATAAGCAACACTGGACACATACATGTCTGCCCGTCTCTCTGTGTCTCTGCCTCCTGCACCATCTCCTTGTCACCCACTCCCCACCCAGTGTCTGGAGAGCCTTCTCTCCTCCTTTCTAAACCCATCTATCCTTCATTCCAGCTTGGGCAGCTCCCTCCTCCAGGAAGTCCTCCCAGAAGCTCCTTAGGGCTTTATTCACAAACCCCCAGGCTCTGGCCCACTGATGGGGTGTCTGGTACTTCTCAGTAGGGGGAGGGCCGAAAGGAAGCCCTCCCTGGATCTGTAGAGTCTGGCCACCTGGCTGGCTGGAGCCCTCACCTGCCAGTGCTTGGTGACAGCGTTCCACACCCCAATGCGCCCCGTGTGGCTTGTGGCGATGAGCTGGTTTCCGACAAAGAACAAGGCCTCCACAGGCACCCCCAGATGGAAGACTCCTACAGTGGCAAAGACGGCTCAGCCAGGCCCCCGCTCCACGGGGGAGGGGAAGGATGGCAGGAAGCCTGGACAGAAAAAATTCTAAGGGCTAGAGGATTCCGCTGGGCCCTGCAGTCCTCCCGGGATAGAGGATTCTGGCAGGAATTAGAGTGTTACGACGGGTCGGATTTCCGATGGGGCATGAGACTCTGATAGAGCGGGGAACTCTAACAGGGTTGAGATTTCCCATCAGGCACAAACGCCAGCAGTGCAGAGGATTCTCATGAGGGCTGAGATTTATTAGGGGACAGATTATTCTAACAAGTCAGAGATTCCTAACGGGCACACAGATTCCAACGGCTCTGGGATTCTCCTGGCGTGGAGAATTCTCAAAGCAGAGAGATCTAACAGGGCAGGAAATTCTGATGGGGCAGAGAATTCTGACGGGTGAGAGAACTGTAGGTGGCCGGATTTTTCTAACAGGCCACAGCATTCTAACAGGCCACGGAATTCTAAAGGGTTGGAGACTTCCATTCAGGCACAGAGATCTAACGGGACAGAGAATTCGGACGGGTTTGAGAATTTTATGGGATGGACTATTTTAACAATCTACAGAATTCTAACGGGTTACATAGTTCTACCCACCACCCATCTGTCAGTCTATTACAGTGTAGGGGCTTGCATGTTGCTATGATGCTGGAAGCTATGCCACCAGTATTTCAAATACCAGTAGGGTCATCTATGGTAGACAGGTTCAATGGAGTTTCCAGACTAACAAAACCAAACCAAACCCGTTGCCGTTGAGTCGATTCCAGCTCATAGCAACCCTATAGGACAGAGGAGAACTGCCCCATACGGTTTCCAGGGAGCGGCTGGTGGATTCAAACTGCCGACCTTTTGGTTAGCAGTTGTAGCTCTTAACCACTATGCAACCAGGGCGTAATAAAGACTAGGAAGAAAGGCCTGGTGATCTACTTCCAAAAATAAGCCAATAAAATCCTTATGGATCACAACAGAATATTGTCCAATACAGTGCTGGACGATGAGTCCCCTAGGTTGGAAGGCGCTAGGCAACAGCTGCAACAATGGACCCGAGCATACCAACGATCACGAAGACAGCACGGGACTGGACAATGTTTTGTTCCGTTATACACAAGGGCGCCATGAGTCAGAGCCAACGCGACAGCAACTAACAAGAAGATAGTTCTACAGTCCACGGGATCCTGACGGGGCATAGAATTCTAACAGGCCACAGAACTCTGATGGGTACATAATTCTATGAGGCCACAGGTTGGGGTGGAATTCTGAAGGGCACAAGATTCTCCCCGGCAAAGCTGGAGAAGCCTTGGTACCGTACCTATCTCAGAGCCACCGCCTTCTGCCTGCAGTGCCCACAGCAGGATCTCGCTGCCTGTGGCCGCTGCCACCATCTTGTCATGCTCACCCAAAGCCCCACCGAGCACTCGAGCTGTAAGCGCCAGCCTCTCGATGGGCCAGTCCAGGCGGGGGCTGGAAAACACCAGCTGCCAGCCAGAGGCCTCCTTCAGCCTGTAGGATCGGGGGGACAACACGAGCCCTCACCTTCAAATCCTCTCTATCAACAAGGCTCAAAGCCTCTGGCCACCCCACTCCCCAGGCACCTGTAGCAGACAAGAAATTGGGTATAGGCCACTGCGATCCAGTTGTGGTGTCCACACACCAGGCGTACCATCCCTGGCTCCTCTGGTAGCCCTGGCGGGGAAGAGGAAGGTCAGGGCAGGGTCACAGGAGCCCCAGTGGCACCCCACCTCCCAGGAGACAGAAACATACCCGAGGGAGAAGGAGGGGCTTTCTCCTCCAGCATGCGACCCAGCAGCCCTGCATTGCCCAAGTTGGGGGGCATCGTGTTGCTCCGTCTAACAGGGGCTGGGCGCCCCCCGCTCTGCTGTGGCCCCACCAGGCTGTGCCGACTCCTTCGCTTCACCGGGAACACTGGGGTACCAGGGTGGGGGGTGGAGGCGGCAAAGTATCAACGACTGTACTAATGACTGCCACATGGCAAACGCTTAAAACATGCCAATGATTTCCCCACGTGCAGAACGCCGTCCCCTGGGGAGGGAATTTTAGGTGGTGCAGGGACGTGGCGTTCAACAATATTAAATCGCACGGCGAGTTACTCCTTTTTCCGTACCTCGGGGATAGTCACAGAGGAAGACTCACTTTGGTGCTGCCACGAAGCCTCTCTAACACTTGCTAATAACCAAAAAAACCCCAAACCTGTTGTCGTTGAGAGTCGATTCTGACTCATAGCGACTCTAATAGGACAGAGTAGAACTGCCCCAATCTGGATTCCGAGGCTGTAAATCTTTTGCAGAAGCAGACTGCCACCTCTTTCTCTTGAGGAGCGGCTGGTGGGTTCGAATCGCCGACCCTCCGGTCAGCAGCCTAGCGGTTAACCACTGTGCCACCAGGGCTCCTTAACGCTCGCTAGTATTTCCTTTTAAATAAATGGAGAGCAGGTAAGCCCTTGGTAGGCAACAACATCTAGCCAGAGGTTAATGACACTGTTATGTTTGGGCAAGAAAGAAAGGAAGGAAGACCTGGTGATCTACTTCCGACAATTAGCCAATGAGAACCCTATGAATCACAACAGAATACTGTCCAATCACCAACAGTCATGAAGACGGCACAGGACCAGGCAACCTCTCACTCTGTTGAGTTGAAGTCGACTCAGTGTCAACTAAAACGACAACTAACAACAATTGCCGCATCCTTGGGTTTACCGTTCGTGTTGACTTTGTATTTATGGCATAAAGGTAGTGATTGAAAGTTTCTATTTAAAATAATAGCTTTTTAAAGCCAAGTAAACCTAACTGAATAAAATAATAGCACAGGTTTTCACATTTGGGGTACTGCATGAAGGTAGTCGGTCATGACTGAGGATAGGGAAATAAAGCTATAAATTACAATTTCCCTACTCTGTTCCTTCTACCAACCAGCAAAGCCTAGTAGGAGCCCTGGCTGCGCAGTGGTTAAAGCGCTCAACTGCTAACTGAAAGGCTGGCGGTTGGAAACCACCAGTGGCGTCAGGAGAAAGACACGCTAGGCGGCTTCCGCAGAGATTTACAGCCTTGGAAACCCTATGGGGTCGCTATGAGTCGCGAAGAGTGGACTACAGTTCCCAATAAAACCTGGCGCATATTTTCCATGGCCAGTGGGCTAGCTGCTCTAGGATCTCAAGGGGATAGTAGTTACAATCTCCCTTTTAATATTTCTCCCCTCCATGCAAAAAATCCCAGCTCCTCCTAAGGCTCCCCACAAGGAAATCAAACCTGGACTACAACTCCCATCAGGCCCTAGGGCACACTTCTGAGCTTCAAGAAAGACTAGATGGCCCACTGCTTCATGGGAAATGCAGTTTCCTACTTCCTCTCCAAAGATCAGCCCAAGCATCTGATGCAGAACTACAACTCCCATTAGGTCTCCGAGCTCATGGCACAGGCACCCAAGAAGGGGCCCCAGGGGAAATGTAGTCTTTAATCCACGACCCCTCCATCCGTTAGGAGTGCCCACCTGGTGGGGGCAGGTAACCGTTGAAGAGGACATTTCCGCAAGAAGATCGATCCAGCTCTTCCCGCAGCTGCAGGCGACGAACTGAGAGAGAACAACTCGAAGGCTGGGATTTAGGGGGTACTGAGACAGACCCTTTTCCCCCTCCCCACTTCTTTCTCCACAGAATACCATCGCTACCTTCAGACGCAAGACCAAATCCAGTGTTCTCAGCTCTAACTCAACACTCTTTCACGAGGGAGGGGGGAAAAGGGGCAGGGAGGAGTCAGGGAGCGTCACTGGAAAGCTGGTTTTCTAGGCAAATGAGAATGCTAATTGGGGACTTCCACTTACCCAGAGGAGTGAGCCCATAGAACTGGGCTTCATGGAGAAGGCTGGAACCGTGGACACCCCTAGGTGGTAGAATTAACTAGGAGTCAGGGTCTGAGGGATGAGGGAAGTGCGGAGGGGGCAAAGAATTCTGAGGAGGAAGTTTCAAAACTGCACGTAGAATCCCCACGGGCAGGGATTCTGACGGGATCAAGATTCCAAGGAGTGAAGATAGGGTTAGTGGATGTATGTGTGTGTACGGACTCTGGGGGCATATAATTTTAATATGATCAAGATTCTGAATGAGGATTCTAATAGAGCGAAGTTTAAATGAACATACTGAGCGGGAGAAGAGACTTCTCAGGGGGTGAAGAAGGTGGAGGACCCTCTCCCTTTGCCGTCCATACTAACCTGGGGTCTAACTCTTTGGTGCGCAGGAAGTTGAGGATTGGGGCGAAGACGGTGGGGTCCCTGTCGATGAAGATCTGAGAGAGAGGAGGGCAGAGGACGGGCAGTGCAAAGAGCAGGGCCAAGTGGGGGGGTCCTGTCCCTCCTCCTACCAGCCCTCCAATTTCTACCCTAGCCCTACTCACCGCTCCAGTTTCATCTTTTAGCGTGGAGATGCGTCCGCTTAGAAGACTGAAGTGAGGGTTCGCAAAGCATGTGTCACAGGCGGGATAATTTAGGTTTTCCCACCCCGCCCCTTCCCGCCCCTTTCCCCCCCGCCCCAAACTCGCTCTCCCAATCACCTGGAGAAGAAGGAATCTGGAATCCAGGTGAGAGTCTGACGGGAGGTACTGAATCTGGGCGGGGAGGTGAGCGGACGCATGAGATGATGGGGGGAAGAGGAGGGATGCGACCCCCTCCCCCAGGACCAGCTGAGTTTCTTCCCCACCCCCCGGTGCTTTTCCAGGCTCTCGCGCCTCCAGCAGGGGGCGGAGCAATCATTGACGGACAGGGATTCCCCCCACGGGAGGCGGGCACTCCCATTCCGCTCCCCGACCCCAAGGGCTCCTCTACACTCACCTCTTACCCCCCACGTTCAGATGAATCACCTCCCCGGGAGGCCCCCGACCCGGGACCCCCTCGGCTGCAGTCGCCACTGCTGCCATGGCCCCTAGGCGAGCCGGCCAGCCTGCGCCCGCTTCCGGGTGTGCACCCAGACCCCGCCCCCACCGCATGCTCATTGGGCCGATGACTCCTGAGCCGCCGCCGACTGGACAGTGTGCTCGCCAGTCACAGCTAATGTATCCGCCTCCTTAAAGGGCCTTCCTTTACTAGCCTGGACGGGGCGGACCGGGCTGCTCCTTTGGGGAAGCTTAGCTGCCGAGCGTTAACAAAACATTGCCCCATCCCTCCCAGGGTCTCCTTTTAAGGTATGTTATCTAGCAGCCTCATCCGGGAACGTGTGCTTGCACCCTGACTTTAGTCCACATCACGGGAGACATTTAGACGTTCTCCGCATCCGCGGTCCCTCCTACAGCCCTCCCCGAATCCTGGCGCGGCCAATAAAACGTGGACCAGCCGTCATGGACCGTCAAAGCCAAAGGATTTATTATAGGTACTTACAGTGTGCGCCCGCCACACCGCCCCACACCCCCGGGCCCCAGAGGCTTCTCCTGGCTGCCCACAACCCGTTCATCCAACCCCCAGGGAGGTGCTCCAGCCAGAAGCATGCAGGGGGAGGGCTCCCCCTCGCCCCACCCCTCAAGAAAGCGCATTTACAGCTGGAGGGGGGAGGAGAGAGGAAAACAGTTTTGAGCTTTGACGCCCCCTCCCATTTAAAGCCTTCGCGGATGCGGGGCGGGGGAGGAGGAGGTTGACGTTTTGCAAAAATAATCTAAGTCAGGAATTAACCGCATGGCTCTGAGGCGGCGGAGTGCGGGGGGCTAGGGCACCCCCCCCAGACAGAGTTCAAGGCAGCATTGGAAGTGAGGTAAAGGCGAGGAGGGGGCATCCCCTCCCCACCCCCTAGCACCCTGGACGGTCCAGGGGACCTCACCAGCGCCCCCCGTTCCCATCCCTGTGGTGGAGAGCGGGGCAGGAATTATTGCCCCCACCACCCCAGCTTTTTCAGGCAGAATCTGGGGGTCGGGGCAGGGGACTTGGCTCGACTGGCCCCCACCCCGCCCCCCCAAGCTCAGTTATTGCATAAAAATAATAGAGCCCCAGCATCTGGGGTGGAGGTGGCCAGCGGGAAGGGGCCGAGATATGGCTATAGGGGCAGCTCTCCCTGCACCACTTCTTGGGGTGCAGGAGAAGTCCCCTCCTTTCCAGTGCCCGTCATGCCAAGTCCGCAGTGTTGGAACTAGGGGCTCCTGCCCCTGTGGAAGAGAAAGTGTCTTTGTGCCCACGGAGTGGAGAGGAGGGGCGGGAGACTTGTCAGGTCCGGGGGCTGGGGGAGTCACTTCCGGCGCCCGCTGGCCCTGCGCTCCCCTGCCTCCCGCTTGGGGTTGCCCTCGTCTGTGGACGACGTTGTGAGTAGCGTCTGGCCCCAGCGGGCTATCTCAGCGTGTTCAGCCACCGAGGCAGCCACAGCTTCCAGCCAGCCGTTCATCTCCTCCTGGGGGAAGAAACGGAAGAGGGTCCATATTTGGAGAAGAAGAGCTTTAGTAGTAGACAAATCTGGACTCCAACAGCCCTCTCTGAACCTCAGTTTCCTCATCTATTAAATGGGGGTAATACTACTACTACTGGTACTAATGCAAACAGTTATACAGCACTTGCCAGACTCTGTGCCAGATCTGTTCCAAGCACTCTTGTGGATTAATCCTGCACAATAGGTACTATAATAATTGCCACTACAAACAACAAAAAACAATGGTAATAATAGCAGCGGACACTTGGAGAACTCTGACATGTACCAGGCCCTGTGCTAAATGTTCTATTTATTTCTCACAATAACCCTCTTAGGAGGAGCTATTTTTATCTCCATTTTACAGATAAGTAAAATGAGGCATAGAGAGAATAAAGGCCTGCTTCATCTCGTCTTGTGAGGACTGAATGAGATAACAAAGTGTAGTTATTATTCTCAACATCTTCACACCACTCCCATGCCTCCTTCTCCTCCCCGGCCTCTCCCCTTGCCCCAACCCTGGGGTCCACTCCGATCCCTGTCTCTCTCACTCACTTCTTCCTCTCCTCCCCACAGGCCTACTCTGGTCCAGCTACAGCCTCTCCCACTTGAGACTTGCCCTGGTGGCCTCCTGGGCTCCCTACCCCCACTCTTGCCCTCTCCAATCTACCCTGCACGTGGCAGCCAGAAGGATCTTTCTTCTGCATCACTATAACCCTCCCTGGCTGAAAGCACTACCATGGCTTCCCAGTGCCCTTGGGATAAAATCCAAACCTCTTCCAAATGGCCCACAATGCTCTGCAATATCCAGCCCTGGGAACCTTTTCGGGACCACTTTTCCTTCCTCCTTGAACTCTGTCCTCCGGCATCACAGTTAACCTTTTGCAATTCTTCACTTCCGCTCCTTTTTATTTGCAGTTCCCTCTGCCTCTGTCACCCCTGTACCTCCTTTTTAGCTGAGTTCCTCCTCTTCGGTTTCTTTCCAGGCTCAGCTCAGAGGCCAAGGCAAGGGGGTTGGATTTGTCCTGAGGGCCTCCGGGCAGAACTCCTGCACTGCCCCCTCCCCAGGCTGGTCAGGGACCTCTGGGCGCTCAGGCCCCTTGGGCTTCCCATCACAGCCCTGGTAACTCCAGCCTGTGTATCCTCTATCACAGCCCCATCACTCCAGGCCCGGAGCCATTCCTGAGGCCCACAGAGGGGAGGGAAACATCCAGATCTCACCTCGTCTTTAGCTTGGAGCAAAAACTCGCTGCCATCCTGGGTCCTGCAGGAGAGGACACAACACTTGGGGAAACTGGGGCAGAGGCCCAGCCACCCACCACCTGTCCTCTAGGGGAGCCAGGGTTCTGTTGGGAGGGGGAAGCTGGGCTTTGAATGTCCCCTGCCCCGCCTGCCCACTTGGGGGGCTCACTGGAGCTTGAAGACATGTTTCTTTTTCTTGTAGTCACTGGCCACCTCGCTGGTGGCCTTGTGCAGGCTGAGTAGTGGCTCCCCGCCGTGTGTGCCCCCTGATGCCGGTCCCTTGGAGTCCTTGTAGAAGCCCAGCTCTCCCTTGCTGAGCACACAGTACAGGCTCACCCAGGACCTGGGGTGATGAGACGGGGCTCGAAGCAGAGTCACAGCACTCGGCCTGGATGCTCTTCATTAATGCCCTTCCTTCATGGGGCTGAATGCGCCTGAGCCCGCCTACCGCTGGACTTTTGCCCTAGTTGGGCCCTATGCCTGGGGCACTCTTCCTGTGGCTGTTACTGAGTTGAGAGAAGGGTCTGAAACTCCCGATACCAAGCCTTTGCTCAGGTTGGCCTCTGCCGGGGTTGCCCTTACCCCCTCCCATCTTAGATTTCCCAAGGGCAGGATTTAAGCCGTCTTCACACTAAGTCTTTGCTCAGGCACTTCCTCAACCCAGGACATCCTTCCTTACTGTGCCACTCTTCCACTCCCACAAAGTGCCCTGAAGGAAGATCTATTGGCCTATTGCAGGAAAAGAGGAATCCCTGTCTCCCCATTCAGTCCTAGCCCCAACACAGGAGGAAGTCCCCCACACTCTATCCCCATCTTGGTGGAGGCACAAGGAAGCCACACTATCCATACTGCCTGGACTACCTCCAGACCCCACTTGCAAAACTCGCCCTGCCCACTTCAAGTCTTGTGTCTAGGATCCACTTTACTCGTCGGGCAGGTGTTTCACTTTTTGGGTCCACCTCTCCTCAGATTCTGACTCCTAGTTGGACAAAAAGGGAACTGGACTCCAAGCACACATGCATCACGGCTAGGCCCCGCCCCCACTTGGAAACCACTACGAGGTGCCCCACATGCAGGCTGTCTATTTATGGGACCCTCAGTTTGGCCTTCCGTTGCTTTTCAGACCCTCCTCCAATTTGCAACTTCAAGGCTGGACCTACCCCACTCATTGGTTGGATGGGCTCCGCCTAACCTGCCACTGGAACCCCACATGCTAGATGCCACCCCTAGTTGGCCATTCAGCTATAGCCAACTCCTGGGTTGGTTGCTTTGTGACTGAGTCCCAGTTTATTTCCTTGCGGTGAGATCTCACCCCCTCTAGCTTCACCTCATTGGAGGCACTGAGTTTAGGCCCCGCTCCTCCCAATCATTGGTTGGATTCCTTGCATTTGAGCCCCGCCCCCTCAGGCCCCGCCTACCCCCCACCGGTTGGTTGGGTAACACCACTCCGCAGGCCCACCTACTCACTCATTGGACACCCTGAGCTTGGGTTCCGCCTTCCAAAGCCCCGCCCAACCCGCTCACCGGTTGGAAGACTTGCGGTTGGCGTCAAGCTCGCGCTTGCGCAGCAGGAAGCCCTCGTGCTGAACAGTATGGGTGGGCGGGAGCGGAGGCGCGGGGGCGGAGCCTCCCTGGGCTGGGGCGGAGCGCGAGCGCCGGCTTCCCCCGCCTTCACCACCCTCCCGGGGGCGCGGCCGGCGTCGCGGCTTGGGACGGTCCCGGGCCCGCGGCCTGTCCGGCCGAGGTGTCCGCTCCGGCGGCTCAAGCCCGTTAGGCAGGCGGCCGGGGGGAAGCTCGCGAGGCTGAGGCAGCGACGGCTGTGTGGAGGGAGGGCAAAGAGGGCTACTGTCCATAGGAAGAAGTGTGGGGGTCATTTGTCGGTGGCTGAAGGTCCCATCTGCCTGGAGGGCCGTCTCTCTTACCAGTGATTTCTGGGAAGACCTCAGGGCTGGAAGTCCAATTCTTAGCTGCCCCCCACCCCAACCAGTCTTGGAGGTGAATCTGTCAGGACTCATATTTGGAATCCCTCACGATAGTGGGGGAAGGAGCTAGGTCAGTGGAGGAAAAGGTACAGGGAGGTGGCTGTCCAGCTGTCTGTAGGAGGAACCTGGGACTTCCTTCTGTGGGGGCGGGGGGTCAGGAGTCCCCCCATCTGTCTGTGGGGAAATTTGGGACCCAGTGGGCTGTGGAGAAATACAGAGTCCAGGATAGATGTGGGAAGAGTCTGGAGAGCCTGTTTGGGGACAGAGGTTCCTAGGGGAAAGACGAATTCCTGTCTCCCCATCCAGCCCCAACCCATTTTCCTAAGGGGCAGAATGTGGGGGCATCTGGGGACCCTCTCCCTGCAGGGACAATGGCTATTTCAGGGATCCTGACCCCTGCCTCTGAGGAGAGGGACCCCGTGCCCCCTCCAGAAGGCCAACTTACCCCAGCAGGGAGCCCGGGGCTTGCCTCTTTCTCCTGCAGCTGCTCCACAATATCAGCCAGGGTGGCCTTCCTGAGGGTGGGAGGAGAAAGGCCCAATGGAACCGGGGTGCGTTCTCCCAGGGACCAGCCTGGCTGGACAAGGAGCCTTTCTCCCTTACCCTGAAATGCCAGGTCCCTGTCTACTCCTGTAGCCTCCGCTCTCAGATGCTCGCCTGACACACGGCAGGTGCTCAGCGCACTCTGCAGAGCAGAGGACCAAACATTTCCCCCTTTAGTTTTAAGTAACACCAAGAACAACATGCACACTGGTGCCTTCAAGCCTTTGAGCATACTGTTCCACCCACCCTGTGGGCTCCCTAGCCCCCTGGGTTTCCCCCATCCCAGCCCTGATCATTCTGGGTCATCACTGTCTGGGGAGAGGTCCTTTTCTCTCACTGGACTGTGAGCCCCATGGAGGCAGGGCCGGTGCTGGTTCAGTGACTGCTGTCCCCAACACACACCAGGCATAGAGTGGGCACTCAACAAATGTTCACGAAATATTAAGTTAAAAAGAGGTCAAGAAGTCACCGTCTCCAAGACGTATCTGACGGACCAAAGGCCTCTTTGGGGACACCGCTGACTGACTGATCTGCACAACACACTCAGGTTAATTCTGGAGTCTGACAGATCTGGGTTCAAGTCCCGGCTGAGTGACTTGCTTTCTCTGGGCCTCAGTTACTCCATCCATAACATGCAAGATGACAGCAGCCCCTGCTTCACAAGGCTGTTGAAAGGATTCAGTGCGATTGTGATAAAGGATCTTATCTTCAACCGGGGAAGTGATCAGTCCATCATCAGACCAGACGAGATACTGAGGTGCAGAGAGGACAAGGTCCCTGCCCAGGGCTGGCCACCCAGAGATTTGAGAATCTGGAAGCTCGGGCATCAGGAAGAGCTGCCTATGTGGGGCAAAGGGCACAGCTCCTACAGTCTTTCAGCCTCAGTGTACACCTCTGCAAAACGGGTTCCACGACAGTAGCTCCCGCCTTAGGCAGTTCTGAGCTCTCTCCGCTGGCGCTGCGCGGCTCTAGGAGCTCTCCCCGTTCCCTTTCCCTCACCCCCTGGCCACATGGGGCCTCACCCCTTGGTTAAGTCTCCTCTGGTGGGCGTCTCCTGCTCGCTGGACTCCTGTCGCTCCAAACGCCGCTCACGCCGCTCGCGCCGCCGCTCCATCTGCTCGTAGCGGCCCAGGGTAAGGCTGTGTGCCGCCTCGTGCTCCGCAGACTCCTGCCGCTCGGGCCGCCGCCTCCGCGCAGCTTCCTCGGGTTGATCGACCGACTCCTGGCGCTCTGGCCGCGGCCGGTCCTGCTCCACCACCGCGGGGGCCCTGGGGGCCTCTGTGGCGTCCTCGGGTGCGGCTGGCGGAGATGCAGGCTCCACCCTCACCGGGACCTCCGGTAGCCGGTCGATGCGCGGCTGGAGGCGCTCAGGCTTCAGCTCCTGGCGCACATACCCGACCCGGGTCCGCACCTCGGCTGACAGCGTGTCCGAGGCCCGGCGGGCCAGGGGCTCCAGGCCCCCCAGGCCCCTCTCGTAGCCCGAGGGCCGCAGCAGGGGCGCCGCCTTGGCCGCCAGTTCCGTGGGGTCCCCGAAGAACTTGCGTCCCAGTAGGGGCGTGGGTGGCTGCTTGCTCTGTTCAGCCTTGAGTTTCTCAATCTGGGGATGGAAGGGCCAGGGTCAGGTGAGAGAAGGGCGGGGTGGACTGGTCTGGGACGGTGGTTCTGGGTTCTGTGGGTCCCACCCCCCAGTTGGGACCGTTTACTAGTTCCTTGAAAAATCATGGTTGTCCAGGCCTGTGCTTAATTCCTATTTCCTTCTGCAAACACTTATTTCTCTTTTTATGACAAGAGTATCTTCTCTTTCCTCGAGCCTCGGATCAGACCACCCAGGCAGGAACAAGTTGCTCTGGGCCTTCCCTGTCCCTCCGGCTCCTCTGCTGTGCCTCCTCTGTCTCAGCCCTGACCCCTCTGGGCTGTCACTGTCTGGTGACAGCTCTGTCTCCCCTGCTGGACTGACAGCCTGGTGAGGAGGGACGGTCACCAGCACAGGGCTAAGCACGGAGTCCAGTGTGTCTGTCTCATATAGAGGGCTGGGGAGGTCGTGCGGGGGTGCTGGGGCAGGATCTGGGGTGCTGACCGTGGTCAGGCGCCGCAGGGAGCTGAACTTCTCTTCCCAGGCAGCCGCTGCCTTCCGGAAGGCCTCGTGCCGCCGGATAAGCTGCTCCACCTCGTCCACGCTGCTGCCCAGCTCTCGGCTCTGCAGGATCGGCTCTTGGGCCGTCAGCCAGGCATCGGCCACCACCGCCTCCTGGGCGAACTGGTGCACCTCCAGCACTGAGAGGAGACATGTGGGGGGGGGGCGAGGGTGCTGGGGGCTCCTGGGGGCCCTTCCTGGACAGTGGCTTTCTCTGGTCTTCCACACACCCCATAGCTTCCCACTTCAGAGCCTAGATCACTCAGTCTAACATTCTTCCCTCCTGCCTGACCCCTCCGCCTGCACCTCCCCCATTCCGGCCAGACCTCTCTGGACTCTGCAGGGGTGGCAGAGGCTGGGGCTATGCCTAGGGTACTACCTCACCCCCAAGGTGACTGCCACTAGGGATTCAATGGCAAGCCAATCTCCTCCGTCCACCCTTCCAGGGCCCCATGTTTTCCACTGGTCCCCTTGAGGGACATGAAAACCAGTGTCACCCTCTGGGCCTTGTCCCTACGGGGTGGACTATGTCCCTGCATCTTGAGCCAAGTGTTTCGGGCCCCCACTCACTCTGCTGCAGCCACTCCCAATGGCGGTCCCATTTGTCTGACACCTCATCCTTCCTGGTTCCCAGCTTGTCTAGCTGCGCCTGGATCTGGGAGTGGTGGGTGCGCAGGAGACATGTCAGGGTGGGGTGCCTCTGGCTCCCACCCCAACCGGCCTGAGGGGCAGAGGGGGCCCCCTGTACCTCTCCCCACCTCATCAGCCATGGCACTCTTGTTGAGCAGCAGAGAGCGCCCCAGCTCCTGGCAGGCAGTCAGCTCCGGCAGCCGAGCCTCCAGCTCGGTCTTCAGGCCCTGGTGATAATTCATGAGAACCTCCACCGAGGACACGTCCCTGCAGTGGGTGGTGGGCAGTGACCTTTTGAGTCCCTCGGCCCACCCCATATATGCAGCTCCTGACGAGGCTGGGGGTCCATACCACATAGGGACACCCACCTTCTATGACCAAGTTCTGAGGGGCCAAGGGAGTCTTTCACTGATTCAATGACCCCCCAACTTTCCAAGGTACAAAAACTTCACATCTTTGTGATTGTAACCTCCTTGGGTGTCAAGATCTAATTTTCCTAACTTTCTATAGCTATGATTCCGGAAGTTCCACTTGCCAAGGATTCTAACTTTTGAAGCCCGCACTGTCCAATATGGTAGCCACACAGGGCAATTGAGCACTTGCAACGTGGCCGGTGCGGACTGAGATGTCTTCAAGCGTCAAATACACCCCAGCTTTCGAAGATTTAGTATAAAAATATTTAGTATCTCTCATTAGTAATTTTAATACTGAGTACATGTTGAAATGATCATTTCTGGGTATACTGGGTTAAATAAAATACCTTATTGGAATTAATGTTACCTGCTTTTCTTTATTATTTTTTTATGTCGCTATAAGAAAAATGGAAAATTATATATGTGGCTGACAGCTGTGGCTTGCTCATTGGACAGCGCCATTTTCTGTGTCTTCATATGTCCAAAACAAATTCCAAATTTTGGAAGGTTCCATCAGACAGGGATTATAATTTTCTACGACTTAACATCGGCAGTTCTAATCGACCAGCAGCTCCTTGGAAACCCTGTGGGGCAGTTCTACTCTGTCTTCTAGAGTTGCTATGAGTTGGAATCGACTTGAAAGCAATGGGTTTATTTAAGACTTAATATGTCCAAACTTATTCCTGAAGGTCCCACCATGTAATGATTCTTAACTAAGACTCATTACGTCTAGAATGATCCTCGTGATTCTCCCTGTCCCCCGAACTTGCTCTCCCTCGATATCCCCCAACCCAGTAAACTCCCCCACTCTTCAGCCCTGACTCTTCCCTTCCTCTCAGCCCCTGCAGCCAATCCATCAATCACATTAAACATCTACAACTTTGAAATATATCCTGTGAAATGATAGGAGGCCTAAGATTTGTTTTAAAATAACTCAGCAGAAGGGAGGGGGGTGCGAAAATGAAACAAAATTGGTCAAATGTTGAGGGCTGTTGAAGCCAGTTGATGTTAACTCTGTTACCTCTACCTTTGCATATGTTTGGAAATTTTCAAAATAAAAAGGTTTTTTAAACTCCTAATACCAATCACATCTTTCCTTCTGTACAGCCAGGGCACTGGTCCAAGCCACCACCATCTCTCACTTGGATTATTGCGACAGCCTCTCCACTGGGCTCCTTGTTTCCGCCCTTGCCCTCCACAGTCTGTTCACTGGGAGGCATCTGCAGTGATCGTTTTCAAAGGTACATCCTATCACACCACTCTGCTGCTCTAAACTCTCCCATCACTCCCCTCTCAGAGAAAAGACAGAACTCCTCACCAGGGGTGCGCGCGTTCGTGCGCGCGTTCATGTGCGTGCCTGTGTGCGTGGCTTCCGGGCCCTAGTCCCCCTCTGACCTCATTTCTTACCACGCTCTACTCCTCTTGCCTCCTTCCACTCCATCCAGCCACCGTGGTCTCTTCGCTCTTCACAAACACGACTAACTACAACCCACTTCAGAGTCTTTGCCCTTCCTGTTCCTTCCACCTGGAAAGCCTTTCCCCCTAAACTTTCCCTGACTCACCCCTCACTTCATTCAGGTCTCCACTCAAATGCCACATCTCAAAGTGGCCTGGCCAACCATCATCCCCTCCCCTCCCCTTGCTTTCCTTTCCTTTATACCACGAATTAGTGTTTGAAATTATATATGCATTTGTTTACTCATTTGTCACCTGTCTCCACCCTCAAAAGGTAAGCTGCCTAAGGGCAAGGTGTTGTCCACCACCTGACACTTAGGAGGCATTCAATACATATTACATATTTTCAGAGGAAAAGAATATAGGGTTAAGGCCCAGGGACACAGCAGTGATGCTGTGTGTCCACCACCGTCACGTCTTCCCCTTACTGGGCACACCCATCATCAGACTATCTCCCAGCCTCCCTTGCAGACAGGTTAGGGCCACCTGGCTGACAGAATGTGAGCAAAAGCTTAGTCCCTATAACCTTCCATGTGATCCTTCCTGTTCTTTTTCTCATCTGCGGCTAGATGCAGAGGGTCCAGCAAATGATTCTCAGGGTCAGTGACAGAAGGATGCTTGGTCCTGATCGCCATGGGGCAGGTCCTACAGGACACCCACATGGAGCCATCGTGTGGACAATAAACGACAGTCTACTGTGTTAAGCCACGGAGATGGTAGAACTGTTTGTTATAGGTGTTCGCCCACCTTGACTAATACAGTCCCTGACCTCCCCTGTCCCCATCCTGGTGTCAGCCATCCTGCTCCGAGACAGCCCCATGGGGAGGGGAAACCCACTGCCATTGAGTCAATTCCGACTCATAGTGACTCTATAGGACAGAACAGAACTGCCCCCATAGAGTTTCCAAGGCTGTAAATCTTTACAGAAGCAGACTGCCACATCTTTCTCCCATGGAGCAGCTGGTGGGTTTGAACCACCAACCTTCTGGTTAGCAGCCAAGCGCATTAACCACTGTGCCAGCAGGGTTCGGACAACCGGGAAGGACAGATGGCAGGGGATGTCCCCTGCTCTGAGCCCCAGTGCCCCGATTAAGAGGTTTTAATACATGCAAAGCACTCACTTCAAACAGTGCCTGGCATGGGACTGGGGAAACTGAGGCCCAGAGAACCTTAATAGCATACAAAGTGCTTACAGAGGTGCCACACAGGGATTGGTTGTTGCGATTTCTTACAGTAAGGCAGCTGTTGATGGGCTGGGGGAGGCTGCCCAGAGGCAGGTAGGAAGCCGGAGGTGGGGCAAGGGGCACCTGGGCTTGTCGGCTGCCCCAATCTGGCCAGCAATGCCATCCATCCAGGAGAGCAGGTCGCGGGCCTGGCTGTGGAAGCGCAGGGCATCGGCTGTGGAGCTGACGTGCAGGCGGGCGTCCTCGCAGGCTGCCAGCAGCTCCTTCCAGCCCTGCAGCACCTCCTGCTCCCGGCTGGCAATGGCCTCCGCATGCTCGCCTGCGTACACCGTCCGCAGCTGGGCTGCCCCCTCCTGCAGCTGCCGTACCTGAGGGGCACACCAGGGTCAGGCACTGGCCCTCCCTGCAGCCGGGCCTCCACCCTCCCTTTCCCCCACCTGCTGGCCGGCTGCAGAGCCACAGGATCTAAGAAGCCTGGGGCCTGGGATCCCACAACTGGATCGCCCTCGTGTCCGCTGCCTGATTTCTCTTTGATTCTTCTGCCTTCTTTTACCAGCTCCCTTCAACTGGCTTCTTAGAAAGACACCCTACCAGCAATGTTTCATGTCTGCTGCCTGGTTCTTAGACTTGCCTGTTTCCTGACTTCTTTTAGACTTACTACCAGCTTTCTTTTCATCGATGGCCTGATTTATTTTGCTAATAGGGCTCTGATTCTATACCTTATTTTTCTCCAAGCCCACCTCTACCTTGTTTCAAACTGATCTTCTGATTTCTTTCATAAAACTTCTCCCCACCTTGATATTTGTTAGACCTGCTGCCCAATTTTTTTGTCCTTTTTTTTTTTTTTGCACTCAATTTATTTCAGACCCACCGCTGCCCAGTTCCTTTCAGAATGGTTACTCCATTACTACCATGTTGCCTGCCTGGTTTCTATTGGTTCTGCTGTGCATGGTGTATTAGACCCACTGCTCGCGTTCTATTGGTTCAATCACCTGATTCTTTCAGAGTGACGCCCCCTTCTATCAGACCCAATCAGTCACTCTCAATTTCCCAGGCCAGCTTCCAATAGACGCCTGTATGGTTTATATACAAATAGCTGTCCAGTTCCTATTATACCTTTTATTAAACCTACAGCCCAATTTCCTTCAGCTCTGCTGCTGGAGTTCTGTTAGACCCCCAGCTTCAGATCCCTCAGATCGCCCTCCCAATTCCTATCAGATTCGCCGCCTGATTTCTATGAGCTCTGTGCCCATTTCCACTGAAGCCACCCCTATCAAATTTCTTTTGGAAAACTCATATGACTTGTATCAGAGACTCGCGGTCTCATTTCTATCTGCCTAACAGCCAAATTTCTCTGAGCCCTCTTGCAATTCCCTTTACAGCCTCCACCTGGATGTATGTGATTCAATCCTGTTTCTAGGAGAACCACGGCCCAGTCTCCATCAGAAATGGTGTCTAGTTTCTATCAGACCTGCTGCTCAGCTTTTTCCCACCGCCTAATTTCTCTGCACCAGGCAATCAGTTCATTTTCAACTAGCCCATCATCCAGTTTCTTCCTGTATCATGGCCTGCTTTTTTTAAAAAATCTGTCCCACTGCCTAATTCCCAATTGTTCCACAGCCTGATTTGTACTTGCTCCACTGCCCAGAGCCCCCAGTCACCCTGTCCAGGCCCTCCCACCTGCGCATCATGGCCCCCACTGCCCCACCTGGGACACGAGGAGCTGAAGGTCATGCTCAAAGGCGCGCAGGGTCCGCTGCATGGAGCTGGCGCTGGGTCTTGGCTCCGGCGGGGCAGTCAGGCGGGGCAGTCGCCTCCGCTTCTCCTCGATCTGCCCCTGAAGCTCGTGGGCATCACTGAAAAACTTATGCAGCTCCCGGGAGGCAGCCAGCAACTGGGCCCGCGTGCCCATGAGCTCCAGCAGCTCGGCCCAGGCCTCGTTCAGCCCGTCCTTCCACTCAGCCATGGTGGCCGCTGCCGTGTGGCCACACTCGATCAGCTCATCCACCATCTGGTTCACCGCGGCCAGCCGTTCCCGCCCTGCCGTGCCTGTCTCACTGGCGAACTCTGAGAATTTCTCCTGCAGCACCTGTCACCGGGAGGACAAAGGTGCCACATATGCCAGTCTCCCCAACCCGTTATCTTGTGGCATGTAAGAGTAATAATAACAATAAAAATAACAACCATAATGAAAATAACATTTAACACTGTAGGAATAATAGTAGCAATGATAGGAGGGACCAGTCCCTGGAGAAGGACATCATTTTGGTAAAGTAGAGGGTCAGCGAAAAAGAGCAAGACCCTCAACGAGATGGATTGATACAGTGGCAGCAACAATGGGCTCAAACATAACAATTGCGAGGACAGCACAGGACCGGGCAGCATTTCATTCTGTTGCATATGGGGTCGCTAGGGGTCAGAAGCAACTCGATGGCACTTAACAACTCACAACAATAATAATAATAACATTTACTGTGTGGGGCACCATGTGTGCCAGGACTGTCCTAAGCACTCTTGAGAAAGCCAACCTAAACCTGTTGTGCGGAGCTGATTCCAACTCGTGGTGACCCCGTGTGTTACAGTGTAGAACTGCTCCATAGGGTTTTCTTGGCTGTAATCTTTACAGAAGCAGATCGCCAGGACTTTCTTCTGTGGCACCGCTGGGTGGGTTCGAATCACCAACCTTCAGGTTAGTAATCAAGTGCAAACCATCTGTGTCACCCAGGGATCTCTGAAGCAATTTACATTATATTAATTCACCTGTGTCACAACAGAGCCATGAAACAAAAAAAAAACCCCAAACCTGTTTCTGTTGAGTTGATTCTGACTCATAGTGACCCTATAGGACAGAGTAGAACTGCCCTATAGGGTTTCTAAGGAGCACCCGGTGGATTCGAACTGCCGACCTTTGGAAGGGTTTCCACAGAGCCACGAGGAGGGTGCTATTATTATCTTCATATTATGGATGGGGAAACTGAGGCCCAGACAGCCTTAACAGCATATACAGTGGCCGCTGGCATTATTGTTACTAAGGATGCTCACTGTGACGTGCTCAAAATCCTGGCCAAGCTCGGGTGAGCCAGCCACCACCTCCTTCTCGGCGATCCAGTGCTCCAGCTCGTCCACCTGGCGGCTGAGCTGGTACAGCCAGTACTGCTGCTCCAGGCCCACCCGGCGCTCCTCACCCAGCTCCTTGAGCGCCACATACAGGCGGTCCACCTGAGACTGTCGCCGGCTGATCTGCTCACTGAGGGGGACAGGAAGGGATAAGAATGGAGTCTGAGACTTCCAGGGTAGGGCCGAGACCCCCTGGCACCCCCCAGGGCAGAGCTGTTCTGTTCTGAACCTTCCAGGTTGTGTTCCCTCAGATTCTTTCTGAAGGGACTCTGCTTCCCAAGGCTCACACTGGGTCAGCCTAACCCAGGGAAAGCTCTGCTCCCCTAGCTTGATAAGCTGGGCCCCCAGACTCCACCTCCCTCTAGGCCACACCCTGTTTCTATCTGCGCCCCAGCGCAGAGCGGGTCCAGTGACCTGCACGGGACTGCTGGTTCTGTCCGACCACCCCTCTTCCTGTGCGCAGACTCCGGGCTCCTGGGTCTCATGCCCCCCTCTCAGATCCCACTCCTGGTCCAAGTCTCGCAGAGCGCCCAGGTGCCCCACTACTCTTGACCACGGGTGGGGCGGTCCAGGCTTCTCTGTCCTCCCAGACAATGGGGAGGAAGAGGACCCTTCCCTGTACTGAGCTTTTCCGTTCCCTCCTCAGTCTTAGGCATCATCTCCCACCTCCGGAAGGGAGCCCCACCCCTACACTCAAATCCCTGGGCTCCTGGCCCCACCCTTTCAAGCATCCCTGGACAGTGCCCCCATGATTCTGATCCGGCCCGCTAGCCAAGATCTGAGAGCCCTAGCATGCAGCCAGGGAGCCCCTTCCCGGTTCACTGTCCAGTCCTGGCCCTACCCTATTTTCCAATAGCGAGGCTCCAGCCCCTGCTCTACCTTTCCTTAAAACCTGGCCCCGCCCCTGCAGTCCCCGTCCCCGCAGTCCTCGCCTCTGCAGTCCCCGCCCACCTGTCCGGATGTCCCATCTCCAGCAGCGCCCGGCACTGGCGCGACAGCTGCGCGATGCTTTCCTCGTAATTCTCCACGCCCTGCTCCAGCTGCAGGTGCTTCTTGAGCAGCTGCAGGGTGCTTTGTTCGTCCTGGGGGAACACGGCGCCCGCGATGAGGCGGTAGCGGCCGGCCCCGGGCTCCAGCGCCCCCAGGTCTCCCGCACCCCCAGCCCGGGCGCACCTTGCCCTTGTCCTCACTCATCATGAGCAGCTCCTGCTCGCCTAGCCACGCCTCCACCTCGGCCACGTCGAAGTAGTACTGCTCCACCTGGAAGGCGACGTCCAGCGCCTGCTGCCGCCGCTCGGTCGCCTCCCGCAGACCGGCCCAGGCGCCCCGCAGCTGCTCCAGGCCGCTGCGCACAGCCTCTGCATCCGGGCTGCGCAGCGATGCCAGCGCGCCCGCGCGCTCCAGCACCTCCTCCAGCCGCGGCCCATGAGCCTGGATCTCCCGCCGCAGGCCCTGGGGGTGAGGGGATGGGGGTGGCTCAGAGGCCGGGCAAGACCCCGCGTACCCCCGCGTCGGGCACGGCTCACGGAGATAAGAACAAACTGCCCTTAGATCGTTTACCACGTGCCAGGCAGCGTGGCACGTCTCGCCGTGACTCACTCATATTCCCACGTTGCAGGCGAGACAGGTGAGGTCGCCCAAGAACAAGGGGAGTAGTAAAGGATGACAGGATTTGAACTCAGAACACTGGCTCCAGAGACAGTGCTCCAGACCAAGACACTTGGCAAATCTTGTGTGACCTAACTGTAGGCCCGAGAATCAGGCAGTTTAGGTTAAAATCCCAGCTATGTAACTTCCGTTTTTTCAGCTGAGGTATAGTTTACATACAGTAATGTGCTCCACTGACTTTTCGGTGTATAGCGTGACAAATTTTTACATATCCGTGTACCCACTACCGAGATCAAGATATAGAGCACTTCTATTACCCCAGAAGATTCCCTCATCAGCTCTGTAACTTGTTGAGTACCTTATTTAACCTCTCTGTGCCTCAGTTTCCTCAACCAGTAAATGGGGATGATAATAACAGCGAATACTTCATGAGTGCCGGCTACCTGCCAGGTGCTTTGCTAAGTATGGGCTTTACATAATGTAGCCACTCATCTATTTCTCAGTACAACCCCGGGAGCCAGACATCACTATTATGCCCATTTTACAAACGAGGAAACCGAGGCATAGAGAGGTTGAGAAGCTCGCCAAAGTCACATGGCTAGGGGTGGCCTGCTAATACCTAGCTTGCGGGTTTGTTGTTAGATAAACCATGTCAAGCCTGGTACACAGTAAGTGCTCAATCAATGCTATTGTTGTTGTATGCTGTTGATTCCAACTCATAGCGACCCTGTAGGACAGAGTAGAACTGTCCCATAGGGTTTCGAGGGAGCGGCTGGTGGATTCGAACTGCCGACCTAGCAGCCTGAGCTCTCAACCACTGCGCCACCAGGGTTCCACATCTCAGCCCAGGCAGTTAAATTATGGCTGACTCTACCAGCAGGTTTCAGGGGTGGGCCCTTAGCTCAGGCCAGGCCAATCAGAGCAGTCAAAATCCCTGGCCATCATGATTGGTTCAGGGATGGTCATGTGACTCAAGTTGAGCCAATGAGAGTCATCGCTAGGACTACTGCTGAAATTACTGGGGGTGGGGGCGGGCTGGGTTTCTCTTTTTTTGCTGGTAGGATGTAAACAAGAAACTGCTGGAGACCTCTACTACCAGGAGGCCTGGGGATAGAGCTAACAGAAAAAAAAAACAGCTGAGAGATTCATGAAGATAGCGTGGCTATACCCAGATGTAGCTGTACCTGCTGTCCATGTACAGCTTGTTTGAATTACAAGAGCCAATGCAATCCCTTTTTTGGCTTTAACCACTTTAAGCTGTGTTTTCTCCCTTGAATCCAAGTGTGTCGTAGCCAACTGCCTCTCCCTGGCCCTGCTCACCTGATTCTTTTTCATGTGCTGCTGGACAGCCTGCAAGCCGTTGCCTCGCTCTGTCTGCATGGCCAGTGGCAGCCGCTCCTGGACCCAGGCCTGGAGAGGACACAGAGCAGATCTGGGGAGAATGCCTGCCCCCAAGGACCCCTGCATTCCAATAAATGTTAAGCTCCTTGCACAGCATCCAACCCCCAGGGCCTGGCCACATCTTCAGCCTCGTCTTTTATCTGCTCTGTCTTGCCTCCTGCACTCGGCCCAGGCTCGTACTTAGTCTGGTCTTTGCACATGCAGGCCTCGCTTCCCACTCACTCGACCTGGCTCCCTCGCACTCTTCCTTCAAGTTTCAGCTCAGATGACCCGTCCTCCAGGAAGCCCTCCCTGACATCGAGCCTTGGCCAGTTACCTCCTCAGGCTCCTACAGCTCCCTAACCACCCTGGGTCGTCACTCTCTGGGGAGGAGTCTTTCCCCCATTGGACTCTGAGCCCTCTGTGGGCAGGAACGGGCTCTGCCTTGGTCGTTCCTGTGGCGCACCAGCATCCAAGCAAAGGGCTGGGCCCCAAATGATCAAGCAAGTGAGAACATTAGTGAGTACGAATAAATGAATGAGCAAATCAGGAAGTCAGTGACTGAAATGAATAAATGAGTGGATAAGTGAGTGAATAAATAATGAGTGAAAAACCCATTGCCGTCGAGTCGATTCCAATTCATAGCGACTCTGTAGGCCAGAGTAGAACTGCCCCATAGGGTTTCCAAGGAGCAGCTGGTGGATTTGAACTGCTGACCTTTTGGTTAGCAGCCGAGCTCTTACTCCAAGTGTGTGAAAGAAGGAATAAAAGATGAATGATAAACAAATGACTGACTTCACGAATAAGTCAATGAGTGAAAATGACTGAGGGAATGACAGTAAACGTGAATGAATGAATAAGTGAGTGAATGAATAAATGAAGGACCGAATGAATGATTCTACCCGCTTATCAGTGGGTGGGTCTCTCAGCTACTGGCATCCTCGCAGCTGTCAATCTCCTCGCCCCGCCCTTGCTCCTGGTCCCCACCCCCTCAGCCCCCCTGGTCCCCGCCCCCGGTCTCACGCCCCGCCCCACTCTCCGGCCACCCCCTCCCATATCCCGTGACCCCGCCAGTCCTCACTAGCTCGTCGTCCAGGTCGTGCGCCACCTGGTGCAGCTCCTTGGAGGCAAGCAGCAGGCGGCGGCGCTCCTGCAGCGGCTCGAGCAGGCGCACCAGGCGCTCCCCCACCGCGTTTTGCCGCTCGCCCACCAGCTCCTTGCTCGCCGGCTCCAGCGGCAGCGCGGCGGTTTGCGCCTGCAACTCTCCCACCTCGCGGTACCACTCCTCCACCTGCGACTCCATCGACTGTGAGGACAGGGGCAGGGTCAGCTCCCTCCCTAGACTGCTGTGGCTCTCCAGTACCCTTATGGTGACGGCCAAACTCCTCACCAAGTCTGTCATTCCACTCCACCCTTGCTCTGTCCCCTCCAGAGGGCTGCCCTCCTCACTAATCCTAATCACACTAAGCTACTGCCTGCCTCAGTGCCTTTGCCCTTGCTCTTCCTTCTGCCAGGCATGCTCTTCCTTGTCAATCAGATTTCAGCTCAGATATTACCTTTTCAAAGAGGCTTACCTGACCCCCTGAACTAAAATAACCCATTTATTTATTAATTCTCAGAGGGACCCTTCAAGGTTGGTGTTATCATCCCTGTTTTACAGAGGAGGAAACCGAGGCTCAGAAAGGTTAAGTAATGTGCCCAAAGGACCAGCCTATCCAGATGTCAAAATAAAACACAAAGCTACAGAGACTGAAATGGTTGATGTGCCATACAGACAGAAAGTGCAAAACTAGACCCAAATACACATGAAAATTTCTATTATTTTATAGATGCTATTTCAAAACCCCCAAGAAAAATCATGGATCATTGAGTGAATGGTCATGAACCAACCGGCTAACCAGTTAGCTGAATCTCTTTCTCTGTCTTTACACCGAAAACAATTCCAGATGGATTAACGACTTAAATGGAATAAATCCATAAGGCGCCAGAAGAAAATCCTGGGTATTTTTATAATCTTGGGATGGAGAGAACCTTTCCAGACATAAAAACCATAAAGGGAAAGATTATAATATAAATTTGAGCCCATAAAAATAAAACAAACTTCTGCACCAATGGAAAGTTCATAATGGAGTTAAAAGATAAACGACAAACTGGAAAAATACGTGATAGATATTAGAACAAGGAACTCATTTCTTTAACAATCTGTTAATTCCCCATTTATTCTATTTCCTTTGTTTTCATAGCATTTGCCACCATTGTACAACCCTGTCTTTACTTATGTGCTTTTTATTGGTTTCCTCCTCCTAGATCCTGAACTCCTTAAGGTCAGGGGCTGTGTCACATTCACTGCTGTATTCTCAAGTGCCTGGCACAGTGACTGGCACATAATTCAATTATGATTTTTTAAATGCATGAATGAATGGCATCAACAAGAAGAAAGACTGCCCAAAAGAGAAATGGGCATTAGATGTGAACAGGCAACACACAGAAGAAACAAGCATATGAAAAGATGCTCAGTCTCACTAATCAGCAAGAAAATGCAAATTAAAGCAAGACAGCCTTTTCTATTCATCAGATTGGCAAACATTTAAAAGACTGGTAATGTCTAGCGTTGGCAACGATCTGGGAGTTGGACACACTCAGCCATTGTTGGTGGTGGTGTAAATTGGTAGAGCCTTTTGGAAGGCAATTTGGCAGGTCCCATTAAAATGTGAAATGTATGTATTCTTTAACCCAGCACTTTCACTTCCACTTTGAGGAATATATCCTAAAGAAATACTGGCACATATGCACAAAGATGTCTGTCCAAGGATGTCAATCATAGCAGACTTTGTGATGGGAAAAAACTGAAGACAACTTCAATGCCCATCAAGAGTTAAACAGTTAAACAAATCCACACCAGCATGGAATAATGGCCAAGACTTACTGTTAAGAGGAAAAGGCAATTTAGAATCTACAGATGAATATATTATTTGTATTAGGTTGCACATGCATACAAATTCCCTCCAGTGAACAAGACATTAATAACAGGTGGTACCTATTGGGGGAGGGGGTGTAAACTTCGTGAATGAGGAATATTGAGATGAAAGAGAGACTTTTCACTTAGGATTTTGAATACAGTTTCAGATGTCTGAGCCATGAAAATATACTTATTCAAAAAATTAAAAAACACACGAGAAAAAAATAAAACATTAAAAAAAATCCATATAGGTACAATTGTAAATACATAGAAGGGCGTCGAGAAGGATATGCACCAAATAATAACAGAAGTTCCCTTTGGCGTGTGGAATTGGGAGGCTGGTTGAAGGTAGACATTAATTTTACGAAAGACTTCTGGGTTCGTTAGATTTTTCACCAAAGTAATATATTTATGTATGACTTGTGTGATGCTAAACACATGGGGGAAAGTCAGTGGAGAAGAAAACAAAATAACAACAATGAAATTAAGTGGTAACAGATTATGGCAAATGACTGCAAACCAAAACCCAAGAACTAAGTCAAGACTTTTGTTCCAAGCTTCTGTAGTGAAGAGCTGTTGGTTTTACCTGCTCAACAACCACAAAGCCCACCCACCACCCTTCTGGCAGCACTTCAAATCCCACTCTCAAGTCCTGAGATTCCTGAGGGCCTGGTAAAACCCAGAGGTCCAAAAGTTGACACGTCACCTAAACTGGGCCAATGAAAACCCCTCTTGCTTCCTCAGGGTCTGACAAATACCCAGAGTTCCAAGGGTAGTCATGTGACTCAGGACTGGCCAATGGGAACACTGAATCACACTGGCCACAGGGATTGGGTCAGGGATAGACAGTTGACCTAACCACGAAAATCCTTCCATTTTTGCTGGAAAAATGTACGTGCACAGAAGAGTAGGATTCCTAAACTGGTAGGATGTAGGCCTGGGGCGCTGGGGGCCATCTTGCCACCATGACGGAAGAAGATCTCAGACAAAAAAGCCAACACAAAGGAAAGCCAGGCCCAGAGATGGAGACACAGGTTCCTAAGGACATAATTTGATCCAGCCATGCTGGAAGCTACACACTCCCTGGATTTTTCAGCTTTGTGAGCCAATAAATTCCCCTTTTAGCCTAAGTCGATTTGGGTTGAGGTTCTATGAACGGCACCTCAGAGTCTCAGTGGATACAGTTCACATTCTCTAACCACTTGTAACCAGTGGCTGTGGAGTTGACTCTGACTCATGGCGACCCCATGTGTGTCAGAGTAGAACTCTGCTCCATAGGGTTTTCAATGGCTGACTTTTTGGAAGTGGATCATCAGGCCTTTCTTCTGAGGTGCCTGTGGGTGGACTCCAACCCCCACCTTTTCAGTTAGCAGCCAAGAATGTTAACCATTTGCACCACCTAGAGACCCCTTACAGTCTCTAGGGGTCATAAAGATGGGTCAAAATCTAAACTGGTAACAAGTCAAAGCCAGGTAAGAGGGAAATAAACAAGGCACAATTACAAATTGCAGAAATTTAAAAAAAAAGTCATCCCAGAACCCAGAAACTCCTTTACTAAGACTCTTCTGTCTCCAAAACCACTATAGTGATATGTAGAAAGATCAGAATGGCATAGAACTCAGGAAACTTAAGTATTACCTGAAATGTTAATGTTATATGTTCCAGCTCCCCATTAAATGATGTAATCCCCTCCACAGCATCCCCAGCAAAGGAGCATATGACTTGAGATGGAATAATTCCAGGGACCAACACTCTTCCACTTCTATAAAAATGCCGCATAAATGCAATACCCAATTTAACATGTATCTTTTCTGCAGATGTGGGCAAAGGATGCAGGAAAGAAGTACAAATGGCTATTAGAAAGATGTTCAGCGGAATTTCAAATTCTCATGGAATCCAGACTTTCTGGCGCCATAGAGGCTGGAGGAACCCCCAAGGTAATAAGAAAATAAATAAATGAAAGATGTTCAGCAATCCCAGTCCTACGTATATAGCCAGAAGTGAAAGCAGAAATGCAAACAGGATCTGTACACCAATGTTCACTGCAGCACTTTTTACAATAGCCAGAAGGTGGAAGCAACCAAAATGTCCATCAACAGATGAATGGATAAACAAAATGTGGTACAGACACACAATGGAATACTACTCAGCCATAAAGAGAAATGAAGTCCTGAGGCATGCCCCAACATGGGCGAACTTTGAAAACATCATGCTGGGTGAAATGAGTCAGTGGCAAAAGGGACAAATACTGTATGACATCACTTATATGAAATAAGCAAATGTATAGAAACCAACGATTATTAGTGGTTACCAAGGGTGGGAGGGAGGGAGTGGGGTCGGAGAGTTTATGCTTAGGGGGCATTAAGTTTATGTTAATGGTGATTTTGAAAAGGACAGCAAGGATGCTTGCACAACACGAAGAATGTAATCAGTATTACTGAATGTACAGGTAGAAATTACTGAGATGGCGTATGTTTTTACCACAATAAAAAAATGTGCAATATCCCTCGGCACTAAGGAAAATGCAAATTAAAATAATTACAAGACAGTACCTTCCACCTCTCAGATTAGCAGGGATGCAAAAGCTTGATAATACCTAGTAAGGGTGAACATATGGGCAGATGGGCACTGTCATGGGGCAGGTACGTACACTGCCTTTTCAGGAGAATACTTGGCAATATTTATCAAATATTTTAATGCATATACTTTTGGCCCAGAAATTTCACTTTGAGGACCATTTTCTACAGAAATATTTGCCCATGGGAACCAGATATATCTGGACAGAGATGTCTGTTATAGCATTATTTATACGAGCAGAAGAGTGGAGACAGACCAAAGGCCTCTCAGTAGAAGGCTGGTTAATAAAAGATTGTCAAGCCACGCCATGCAACAGTTTCAAAGAACAGAGTATATTCGTATGTGTCGACAAGGAAGGATGTCCAGGAGGTTTTGTCCGAAGGCAAGTTTCAATACGGTGTGTATGTCACCCGTGTGTGTGTGTGCCCATAGAATGCTTCCAGAAGAACAAAGAAGGGATTGCTGAGAGTGGCTACACCTCTGCAGAGTGGGACCGTGTGTGTGAAAGGGGAGGAAGACTTTTTACTTCCCACATTATACGATTCGGTTTGAACCTCTTGCCATACAGTAATAATGATATCAGTGTGATACCACATCCGGAGAGTTTGCTCCATGCCAGGCGCTGCTCTAGGCACTTGACAAGGGTTAACGCATTTTGTGCTCACAGCAATATATGAGGTCAGTGAACGACATGGATTGCACTACATCCCCCCAAAAAGGTGTGTATCAACTTGGCTGGGCCATGGTTCCCAGTATTGTGTGGTTGTCCT